CTGAAGGTAAAATGTTTTTTTTCATAATTAGAATTTAATTACATATATAAAATGTACTTTACAGGATTATTTTATAGAAACTTAGTCCTACCACTTGCTAATTAATCGAAGAATTATACACTCTATGATGAAAAACAAAACAGTGGCGGTGGGGGAGGGGGGTGAAAACGACAAAAACACTGAACTTTAATATCTTACAACAGTTGGAAACAAGTCTCCGTAGAGCCAGTATACAGACAAATAATTAATTTTTAGATTTACAGGCCAATCACAGACAATTACATTTATGTTTCTGAAGAGACTGCCAACACACAGAGAGCTGGTGACAGAAACAATAGACAAAACCAAATAATTTTGCTGCAAATAGGGGTTCATCATTTCTACAAAAACCATGCTGGGGAAAAAAGGTGGAGGTGGGTGGGGAAAGATGGAAGTGGGGTGCTAAAGGCAAATTAGCAAAGGTGGATATTGATTCAAATAGAATAACACGAAGAATGAGAGAGGAGAGAGAGAGAGAGAGAGAGAGAGAGAGAGAGAGAGAGAGAGAGAGAGAGAGAGAGATGAACAGGAGCCTCTGATAGTGTACACAGGACTAAAGGGTAAATTAGAGAGAATCGACTTTATTGGACTGGGTTTTAACCTGTATGGCTCATTATCTCTCCCAGAAGGGCTTGCCCTCTGCGGAGAACGTAAAGAATTCACTCATGAAACGAATGATGCAGCCGAGAAAGGAATATATGACCGTTAGAGCGCAAGACAAATGGTTGACCACTTCGCTAGTGAGATAGTTTACAGCCATGACGGAGATAGATGAACAGACACATCACAGAGTGTAGAGCCAGGACGGAGATATATGAAACGGACACACCTCAGACATTGTACTGCTAGCACGGAGATATATGAGCAGACACACATCAGCATCTCATACAGTATAGAGCCAGCACGCAGATTTATGAACAACTCAGACAGTGTAGAGAGAGCACAGAAATATATGAACAGACACACCTCAGACAGTGTAGAGAGAGAGCACAGATATATATGAACAGACACACCTCAGACAGTGTAGAGAGAGAGCACAGATATATATGAACAGACACATCTCAGACAGTGTAGAGAGAGAGCACAGATATATATGAACAGACACACCTCAGACAGTGTAGAGAGAGCACGGAGATATATGAACAGACACATCTCAGACAGTGTAGAGAGAGCACAGAGATATATGAACAGACACACCTCAGACAGTGTAGAGAGAGAGCACAGATATATATGAACAGACACACCTCAGACAGTGTACAGAGAGCACGGAGATATATGAACAGACACACTTCAGACAGTGTAGAGAGAGAGAGCACAGATATATATGAACAGACACACCTCAGACAGTGTGGAGAGAGCACGTAGATATATGAACAGACACACCTCAGACAATGTAGAGAGAGAGAGCACTGATATATATGAACAGACACACCTCAGACAGTGTACAGAGAGCACGGAGATATATGAACAGACACACTTCAGACAGTGTAGAGAGAGCACAGAGATATATGAACAGACACACCTCAGACAGTGTAGAGAGAGCACGGAGATATATGAACAGACACACCTCAGACAGTGTAGAGAGAGAGAGAGCACAGATATATATGAACAGACACACCTCAGACAGTGTACAGAGAGCACGGAGATATATGAACAGACACACCACAGACAGTGTAGAGAGAGCACAGAGATATATGAACAGACACACCTCAGACATTGTAGAGAGAGAGCACGGAAATATATGAACAGACACACCTCAGACAGTGTAGAGAGAGCACGGAGATATATGAACAGACACACCTCAGACAGTGTAGAGAGAGCACGGAAATATATGAACAGACACACCTCAGACAGTGTAGAGAGAGCACGGAGATATATGAACAGACACAATTCAGACAGTGTAGAGAGAGCACGGAGATATATGAACAGACACACCTCAGACAGTGTAGAGAGAGCACGTAAATATATGAACAGACACACCTCAGACAGTGTAGAGAGAGCACAGAGATATATGAACAGACACACCTCAGACAGTGTAGAGAGAGCACAGAGATATATGAACAGACACACCTCAGTGTAGAGAGAGCACAGAGATATATGAAAAGACACACCTCAGACAGTGTAGAGAGAGCACAGAGATATATGAACAGACACACCTCAGACAGTGTAGAGAGAGCACGGAGATATATGAACAGACACCCCTAAGATAGTGTACGGGCAGGACGAGAGAACAAAAATGAGTTTGGAATCCATTGCAGCAAAATTTTATTGCATAGCGAATATTTGATTCATTGAGTATTTTACGTTTTCTTGCAATAATGGAAATTGCCATCTCCCAACAAGGTTTTGTAGTCACAATATTTTTGTGTCACATTGCATACATATTATATTTTGTTTGTTTAAATGATGACGTTAAACTATATATTGTACACTTGTGTCTAACAGCATCTCGTCATACGCCGATATATCATGCTAATCAACTGTGCCAGAACAACTGCATATGAAAATCTGATGTGAAAGCTAGAGGTAGACCTAGGAGGAAATATATTGATTATATTATAGAGCTTCTACGTTGATTATAAATGACATTTGCCATTGCTACTCATCAAGCAATGGATCGCAAAATGTGCCTCCCCATGTCATTTAACGCCAGAAGTGGAAGTTGATGATGATTTCCAGTTGTATTTAATATTTATACTAACAAGGAAACACTGTTTTAAGTTATTATTATTATTATTACTATTACTATTATTATTATTATTATGAAGCAACAATATTCAACACAAACTGTGCACAGTACACTCAATAGTTTCATTTTCATAGTTACAACATGTCGTAAGAATGGACTAATTGGGCGCTTCCTTCGAAGTCGGAGTGCATCTGTATAAGAGGCAAGGAACTAACAGTCTGCACACACATGTGTCAGATCCGTCAAAAAGATGCACACGCAATACCCAGGTTCTGGAACAGGACTGCAGTCCAGAAGTGGACGAACAACTAAAACTCCCCCCCCCCCCACCCAGCAGGGTTTACAGCTGGTGAACGCAAAGAAGAAAGAAGAAGAAACATTCTTACATTATCGCCTAAATGAGTGGCCATCAACCCTACCAGGAAGACACAGGACGAGCCATTAATACCAGATGATACAAAGTGCCAACATTTGGACAAGACTTCCAGAAACCTCGTTCAACAGTAAGGTTTTTTAGGAAAAGGGGGGGGGGTGGGGGTGGGGGTGGGCTTCAAAATGATTTAAAAAAAAACATTGCGTCCCACATGGGTATGAGATATTTGTAAAAGTTAATTATCAATTTATATACCATGCACGTTTGTAATCTATAACTCCCTTGCGTAGTATCGTGTTTCATATATGAAACACCGTTAATTCAGTCCGGTTCATCATCTTCACCCTATCTCATTTACTAGAGGTATTTTGACAATATTTCTTACGGCGACCCTAAGGGACGCAGTCTATTGTTTATGTACGTTCATATAAAGATATTCTCAAATATTTAATAGTAGTTTAGGTTAGGGTTAGGGTAGAACAAACTCTAACCCTAGAACTAACCTCGAACAATATAAAATACTATTATTAAATGAACTTACATAAACAATTGATTGCGTCCCCTAGGATCGGTAGGTTGGTAAGTTATATCCCACCAGGACATCACACAAGCGATAAACACCCGGTATCACGAAGTGCCACCATGCAGATGATGATATTTATTGCCCAGCTATATTTAGGGCCCCAGGCAAAAGCCGAGGTGGGGCTTCAAAATAACAAAACAATTGCATTCCACGGGGTGACGACTTTCGGCCCTATTATTGGTCAGCAATTTATTATCACCTTATGTGTATTATCTGACTGACTGACTGACTTTCTACCCCACCAGGACATCACACAAGCGATAAACACCCGATGACAAAATGCGCTACTATGTATGTGAGGATCACCGTGGAGAGATCCCAGAAACCGCTTTCAGCCTTTAGGCCATATTTATGGCCAGGTGTATCATTTGCCTCACCATGGGACGCAATTTTTTTTTGGGGTGGGGGGGGGGGGGGGGGGGGGGGGGGGGGTGGGTGGTGGAAAAAAAAGGGGGGGGGGGGTTTAAAGCACCTACCCCGTGGCCCTAAATAAAACCTAACCGTTGGATGAGGTTTCTGGGACTGGCGCCCTGGCGATTCTCGTTCGAATGCTAGCACCTTATTTCGCCGCTTGTTTATCACATGTTGTGCGGTTTTAGTAGAGTTGATTGTACCTCGGTCATTATTACCTTACTATAGATGGCTTCCCTTGGGGTCGCTAATTGAAGTATTGCAGATGTTTCTGTGCTTTCGTTTCCTATTTTTAAACCTGCTTGGCGATTCCCTGTCTGTTTCTAGCTTTCCTGTACTAATTAATCACAAACAAGTAACAAAGTATAATAAACAAGTAACAAAGAATAATTTAGTATTTTAAAGTGTGTTAAATATCTTTCCTTACCGCCACAAAACAATCAACAAAGTTAAAGCCATCAGTATACACGCAATGGTAAAATAGCGCCAAACAGTACGCATTCTCTACTCTGGCACAAACTTTTTTAACCACAATACCAGGAAAATTCCTGGCTAACATATGTTTATTCAAATGGTTTTTTGTTTTATTTTGAATCGCGCAGAAGTTCTGGTCAAATCATAGCGTCGATTCATTCAGAGCCAGTGCAGTTTAAACATCGAACATACAGTTATACGCTAAAACCAGCTGAAGATTATCTTGCCGAATAAGTTTCGATATGGATTAGGTCTTGCGTTTAGGATCGATTGACTACGGTTGTGTCAGCTGTAAAGCAGCAGCTGGCACAACGGTAAAGTGCTCTGGGCTCTCGTTTGGAAGAACCAGCTTCGAATCTTCGGTAAGAGACAGAATTTTTCATTTTCTCAGAGGCAAAAATTGAATCCTGACCTGTACAATCTGTGACGTC